CTTACAACTTCCTTCACGAGTAGACGAAGTCATGCAAACACTGAAAAGCCCTCTGTTACTTAATTGCAATCTGTTTACAAGTCAACGAATTAAACTTCTTTCTTCATATTCTTTTCCCTTTTAAATCTCAATTAAAAGTCAACGTTCAACGATTCTTTATTTCCAAACTTTTCAGGACTAACAACACGGGTGAATAGTTTTAGGTCTTAAGCGTCTTAGATCAAATTTCATTTCCTTTCCTAGGAAAAAAGATCGTGCTTCCCTTAAAATTTATATTTGTCCCATAATCAGGCATTTTTAATAACAATGACTGACCACAGGACCACACTTTAGTTAGGAAACCTTTATTGTGGAGCGAACAAAGCTCCCTGCGATTCAGTGTCTATTCAAAAACTAATCTACCCAACCTTAAAACACTTCAGAACCAAATAACGTAGAAGATAATTACCCTTACCAGGTGCTTTAAATAAAGAGATTTCATTCCTACTGTCATGGCCCAGTTGTTGATCACATTGGTAAAGAACCCTTACTTAGTAGCCGAGAAACAAACCACCTATGGGGCAAATTATTCATGACATTTTTTTAATAACTTGCATGGAGTGTGATCTCTTCGGTACTGCCAAATTAAATCTACTGAACACACAAGACTCGCCGACAGATGTTGTCTCAAAATGTGAATACTTTCTTAGATTTACTCGCTATGACGATATCACTTCATGCAGTTTAGTTTATTATTCTGCCTTAAAGAAGGGGTCAAATATATTTGGAATAGTTCCTTTTTTGTTCTCTTCCGTTTTCTTTGTTTGTTAATTTTATTTTTGTTCAGTGTATTCACTCTGAACAAAGACAGAAGCTATGCCTTATTAGACGAATCTTTAGGAAAAAAATATAATCGCTACCAGTTTTACAAAATTGGTAATTATCCAAACCAAATATACATCTATACATCTTATCGATATTCAGCGCGCGTAGGAAGCACCAGGGTGTAAAAAGTTTCTAACATTCATGCCTTTTAGGATGCATCAATTTGAAAGCATATTAACCGTTGTGAATACTTTTTAGAGATTAGAACCGGAAATGCACGAATCTCCAGATTTAGATCTTATAAAATTTGAACAAACATTATTAAGATCAACTTAAAAGCCAAATTGTGACAAAGAGTCAGGCTCTATTACCCATAACATGTCTCAGCGAAAGGTTTAAAGAACTGCTTTTTTCTTTAAATCTTCATTTGGCCCATGATAATTAATTTTCATTTCGAAACTGTAGAAAAGCGGTGTCAGGTTTTATGTCGATCCAGCCGAGCTATTTCAGTCAAGTTTAAATAAGCCTCTCAATTTTTTTTTAAAATACCAAGGTCCGCCACTGGCCATCTTATCCATCCTGTGGGATCGAAAAGTCAAAAACGTTCATGAACAGCATTGCAGAGACGTGAGTAATTACTCTGAGGTAAACTTTCGCTTTAGGCTTCTCCAAAAGCTATTTCCCTAAAATTTTATCCGTTTGTATTCATCTTACTTCAAAAACTTGGGTTGTAAAATGACAAAATACTCACGAGCCTCTTGTAAAATGTATTTGTTATCCCATACTATTGCAAGAAGAGTAAGTATTTAGACGAAATAACTCATTATACCGATGTGAGGAGAAGAGTCTTGTGCCAACTCCCCCTCCTCCCCCGCCGCCTTTAATTCAGACGCTATGAGATTGTTGTACAGGGAAGGTTGACGGGGGGTGCGGGTTTCTCGAGCAAGGGCCAAGGAGATGAAAAGCCCCGTCTATGCTTCACTTCACGTCTTTTCAAAGAACTTTCGAGCAAAGTTGGATTTTTTATTGCGAAACAATTATCACTTCCTTTCTGCAAGAGATTGTAATAACAGGAACCGACTTGTTTCAGTTGTTTTCAAACTGTGCTAGCGAATAATTAGCCCCATCAACATGACAAGTTTTTATATAACCACACACGACAAAATCCACGAATATTACAGTGTATTTTGACTTCGGCTTGAAAGTGCTCAAGCCCCAAATTACCCTTTTTTTCGGGATATGAAAGGGCTTTGGTACAATTTTATGGAAAAAGGGTCAAGATTTTATCCTCACACTTATTCAAATCTTCTCTTCAATAATAATCACTGAACTATAGACATGTATGATCAGAGGTGACAAGAAGCTAAGACTTGAGAGATAATGGGTGCTTGACGTCTTTTCCCGAATCTTTGCTCAACAATTTTTTTTTGAAGATCAAAAATTCCATCTCATACTCGGGACAAAGATTTTAAGGAATAACATGAGTCGAAAAAACAGTTTATTTTGGTTTTTTTCCTAAAGACGCCAACTTGTAAGATTTTAGTTTCTTATTTAAATTACCCGAAAATTATATACCTGCCAACATGGCGGAACTTGAGCTGGTTACTTTCAGTAGGTTCTGAACGATTCCTTTAATGCAAGGAGAATCTGAGAAAATGTGGCAACAGTCATGTCCCTGAAATTTCTTCAGCTCATATACAGACATTGCAAGACCCCCAACCCCCGCACCCGCTTCTGCAAATTTCGGTAAATTTCCTGGACACATCCCAAATTTCCTTTAACTTTTGAGAATGTTTGCAGAGTTAATAGGGACGAAAAATGCCTCTTATATCTACAATTCACTATCTACTAGGCCTGTGTTCAAGGCTATTCAACGGCCACGTGAGTCGTAAGTGAATCTTCCGTCTCTAACCAAGGGAGGCAACGTTAAGAGGGTTGAGAAAGTAAGGCAAGAAAAGAGACTGAAAGGATAAGGAGGCAAATTGTTGAAAGAAAATTGTTGCACTGAACTTGAGGCTTCTCGTATTTCGGTGAAACATATTTCCACGTTCTTTCCCCCAATAAAGTATTATTATTTCTCAATGTGTTATTTTATAACTTAAGTGCAACTAAGTAAAGAGCCATTACTGACATCTAGGAACCAATTTATTGATTTTTAACATAAAGTAATTTAAACTGACACTACTGACTGAAAACTCACGCAAAATGATAGTTGTTATTACAACTACACCTTTCTCCTCCTTTTTACATGGAAGAGCGTGAGAGCCTCCTAAAAAGTTATTCTAAATGTTGACAAAAGCATTCTGATCTAACAAGTAAATAAGTTTTGCGGAAACTTAAACGTGTCATATAAAACACGTTGGCATATATAACCGCTTTTATGCCCTGCTCTCTGAAAAGAGAAACAGAACCTAAATGACTGAATCTCGTTTTAGCATTCGTTAGTCTCCTCTCAATTAATCAACATCTGGAAACACATTACTTAAAGTGGCCACATCGACAATTTGGCATCAACCCTGGGCAATTTTTTTCAATTACTTTACAGGATTCCGCTAGAAGTGAAACTGAACCCTTTTCAATTGACTGGAAATCCTAAAACCAATACTAAAACAATAAAAATGACGTATTCCATTGATAAAAACCAAAAGACGCCAAACGTATCACAAATTAGTAAAACACACTTTTCGCGAATAGTTTGCAACCGGCGCCGGTAAAAAATGCAGTCTGTGTCGTGCGCAGCAAAATACGACCCAAAGGGAGGAGAAACAAGGATACTGGGTCTAACTGTGAGAGTGAAAATTGAAAAGGTTGCTTTTTGTTTTGAGCTGACAAAGAAAAACAAATTGATTACATGATAAACGCTTACAGTCGATTGAAAAGCATTCCCATAATGTAACACGTGAAATCTGAAGAACTAAACTCATAATAGTTTCTTTTTAAAATACTAGCTAGTCCTATTTCCTTGCATGTTATTTAATGACTAATTATAAATTGATGATATCAACCAAGATACGACTAAGTTCGTGATCGTCACATAATCGATCTAACTTACAGTTCCAGGGAAAGCTATTAAAAGAATTCTGTTCCAGTGTGAGCCCTGATCAGTGGTCAGGCTGAGAGCCTTTTTGGTCACACACTCTATTATAACACCAATTATTAGGGCATCAGTTCGCTCTGTAGGCCTATCAGTATTCCTAGTCCAATGAATGGACGTGGTTTTGAAACAGAACACCTAAGAATGACATAATATTTGATTCCCATCCTTACTTTTGCTTTCACGTATTTCGAGAAACGAGACCGAATCATTGAGATTTATCGGTGAAACCACAAAGCGTAAGAATTGTGCCCTCGCCACTATATTTCGGCCCTCTTTTTCTACTGTCCGGATCCTTCCAACCTAAGGTGTTATTGAAAGCTTTGAAACATTAAATCAAGAGTATCATTGTAAAACCAAAACAAAGATAAAATATTTGTAAATAGAGGATTCTGTTGATAATCAACAAATGAAGCCATACAAATCCCAAATCAAATAAAAGTTTTTTGATAATTTGTAATCAGCGCCAATGGCAGTAAAACTGCAATCTGTGTCATGCGAAAAAATGCAATCAGTCGGCCCAAAGAGCGGCCGGAAAAACAAAGATACTGGGTCTAACTGATCGTATTAAAATTGAAAATCGAGTTTGGTTTTGACTTAATCAACAAAAATGAAGTGATAAACCCTTGTAGTCAGTTGAAAATCAGTCTTAAATATGTGTAATGATTGAAGTGCAGAAAAATATGAAATACTATGTTCACAACATTTTCTCTACAAAATACTTACTAGTCCTCATTACCTGCATGTTATTTGTGAATTAGTTCTCAATTGATGCACATGTCCATCTGATAAATTGCTCAGAAAAGAGTCGGAAAAAGAACAAAAACAGAAGTTTTTGTTGGAGATGTATTCGTTACGTCAGGAGATGTTCGCAAATAGATCTATTCTAGAACATTATGTTTGTAAATGTAAAATATGAACTCAAACACAAATGACTTTAATTCCTCAGGTCGCACCGTTTGGTCAGCACCTCAAAACACTCATTAACTAAACTTGAAGATTAAACAAAAGATTATTCAACTCCCGGGTTTAAAGACTAACAACAATCAGCCTTCAAAACAGATTAGCCTTACACGTTACAGAAAGTGCTGCCGAGAGCATGTCACTGAAGAAACGTGATGATCACTCTACCATCTTCAAAGCTATTAAAACAACATTCATTCTGCTGATTTGTCCCACTGTTGAAAGATCCACCCCTTCCCCCACAGGAAAACTGTTCTTTAGCTCCACCATTTCCTCCAGAGTAACCTCCACCACCTCCAGCTCCACGGTCGCGTCCAAGTAAACCACCGCCACCTCCGAACCCACCCCAGGCATGTCCACCCACTCCTCCGTGAAGATATCCTTTGCCTCCTTGACCAGCACCGCTACTTCCATTACTGTAAAAGCCGCCGCCACCGCCACCACCACCTACCATAAACGAAAAGTGAGAAGCAGTTGTCTCATTGATAATATTCGCAATATTATCAATTAAGTGCACTTCTCAATTTTTGGAAGTTTATTTTGAAATATTATTGGGTAGTCAATTGCTAGAAATACAAAAGCTCATTAGGATAGGAGAAACGTAAATGAAGTGATGCGTATGTATATTGACGGATCGATGGTGAGCAGTAAATAAATGTGTACGAATTTTAAAAACTGAACGGGCGAAACCCAGTTGAACTTAAGATATTCTAAGAGGTTCCTCCGACAAGAGAAAAACTTCAAAGTTAGAATTAGTAATTTCAATAATTCAGTTCTGACCAATCTTACTGTTATCTTCCTGTCCTAATGTATTGAACATACTGATTGTTTTTCTATCTTCTTTCTCCGCTTACCTGCGGATTGACCACTCCTTTTTCCTCCATTTCCGTTGCTTCCTCCTGACCCCAAAGGCGAGTTGTTCCCTGCATTCCCTGTTGTGTTTATGGACGCATCACATCCTGGATGTTGTTCCGATATATTTTTAATTCCTCCTCCACCTCCAGCTATAATCAAAGGCTTGTTGTTTTCTCTCACTACAAATGTACCTCCTCCACCTCCGGCAGTTTTTGGGTTTTCATTCCCTTTTTCCCCTTTTTGACCAACAAGTACATGAATGATCTCATCTTTGGTCAAATTAAAGTTTCCAATCATTCGTGCCCCTCTTCCTCCGGTTTTGATAAAACTGTCCTCACTGTACCCCCCTGAGGCTCCTATTGCTTCTATTCTGTATTGACCAGTGCGTGGCACAGTCCACACTTGAATACCGCTGGACACTGTTACTTGTCCGTCATGGTCCTGATCTTTGTAATGACTACCAATCGACTTTGGACCCTCTGATCCAATCTTACCAAGATTTGTAAACACAGCTGTAAATCCTGCATAAAACCATAGAATAAAAGTAACGTTGTTGGTAAGAAATTGTCAGAATTTTCTTTGCCATTTCTAATGGTACTATTACGAGGAAATGTTCTCGTAGTTACGTAAATTATTTAATCACCGAAAAAATGGAATTGAAACGTCAGTCACTTGGAGTGTTCGAACAAGTCGTGCTGTGCATTTTCCGACGCTTGCTCACGTTTGTATTTTTAGAAAGTAGAAACCCTCGATAGTCGGGCATTGACTTACTTCATTACATCTAAGGATTACATTCGACAATAACATATTGATTGCCGACCTGAATCAAAATGGTGTTTTTGAATACCGACGTGATAATTTTATAAACTGTACGGTTGAGCCATCACGAGGTTTTGTTGTTGGGGAATCTAAAAATCTCAAGAGAAGACAAGGTTTCCTTCCCATTCCCACAATTAGAGTAGTTTTTCTCGTCAAATTATTCCAGTTATTCCGGCGATCACACGTGACAATGAAAAGAGGAGAGTGAAGAAGGAAGGAACTCCATGTGACCAAAGCTGATAAGTCAATTTTCAAATGATTACAACAAGTTGTCCAGGATTGTATTGGTTTTTTGCCTTTCTTCGCCCTGTTATTGGTCTAGAAAACTCGTGTCTACTTGTAGCAGCTCGATTTTGATTGAGATGACACACAGCAAACAATATCCAAGCGCTCGCTTTTGAACAGGAAATGAAGTATTATCTGGTATAAATTACTCGTTACAAGAGGTAACGCTCAATAATTGTCATTCAGGCCTTACCTGGTACACAGCCATACAGCTCTACCCTCATTGATATCCAGCCCTGCCACTTTACTAGTTTAAAACGAATGTAACGCGCTGTGATTGGTGGGTTAAGGTCGTGATAAACCACGGTATTCTGATCAATGTTTCCAGCAAAAACCTTTGAGGTAACAACATAAGAGGTTTCCATTTAATCTTTTATAAGAATTAATTTTATGAATAACAGTTATTACGACGTGAAAACAGTCCCCCAACTCATTCATACACCATTCCTCTAATCGTTCCTCCTGGGGGCCTCGATATTATACAATTATTACTGACGGTGCGTTGGCAAAATCCCTGCCAATGATCATCCAAAAATACTTCTTCTCCTGTTTAAACGGGAATCAATTCACAACAAATCAATTTTACCTTCATTGTGTTTTGTCCTGGGACTGTGTAATTGTAGAACATTTCTGTATCGTTGCCGTACTGCAGGATGTACTTTGTAACCCACTCCCTCTTGGGTCCATTACTTCCTTGTGTTGCCACACGTTTGACTTTAGTGTGCAGAATAACCAGATCAACTTGTAGCCACTGATCCGTATCATCATTTTCAGCTGCCCAAGGTCCCTCTCTGTCAGGATTTATAACATGAAGTCTGCTCTGACTGGCGGAGTGGTTAGAGTCTCTCTCTGAAGAGGCGCTTATTTGTCCGTCAGAGATTTCACCACTTTGCATGCCGAGAAATCTTCCACATTCTGTTTACGAAAAGTCAGCGGACGTTTTACAAATATAAGTTATCTACGGCAGCCAAATAAAGGCAAGCTATGAGATCATGAGGCAATTAATCAAGCGTAGTTTACACTGAGCTAAGAAATGTCGTTAACACATTCACAGAAACTTTCAACGAAATGAAAAACATTAAAGAGCGCATACGAGCAGATCAACAGTAATGTCTACAGTGATTATCAGCTTTAGAGGAAAGCCATTTTCCTTACCTTTCACGCATCCATGCAATTCCACTCTCATTGATATCTCACCTCTCCACTCCACTGGTAGAAAACGTATGTACCTTGCTATGATTGGTGGATTGAGGTCGTGATAAACAACACTGTTCTTGTCTTTGTTTCCGTCAAATTCCTGCATCATAATAGATGTGAAATAAATGTTGAGTGTTTTTATTCAAAATGCGCGGTACGTGCCCGCTTCGTATACATAATAATTTTTTAAAATAAAATCTATATAATTATATTATGCAATGTTTTCACTGGGTAAATAGTGAAATATCTCACGAGCGATTTGATTCATGAAATTCATCCCATGCCACCCTACGGTAAAATTAAGTTGAAATTTTTCTGCAAATATCTATCTGAGGGTAATCAAAAACTGGATCAAGATGAGATTTGTACCTGGGCAAAGAAAATGGTAAATTTATGAAATTTTCATACATCGTAACAATTTTCTTGAAAAACTGCCGACTCATGCATCATAACAAATCGAGAAACGAAGCTGATCTGATTGCAAAGAGGATTGTTTGTCCTAGAAAATTTCTCAAAGAACACATTGGGAAGTTTAAGTTGAGGAATGAACTTGGCTTTGTGTACAATGAGCAACTCATGTTTTAGAACCCCTCCCCACCTCTGATCAGTTTTACCTTTGATATGGTTTGTCCTTGTTCCTTGTAGTTTTGAAATCTCACTCCATAGTTGCTGTATTGTAGCTTGTACTTCTTCACCCATTTGTTATGTTGATGGGATCCCTGTGTTGATACTCGTGTTACTTCAGTGTTTTGAGCTCTGAGATCGAGCTGAAGCCACTGGTTAGAATCCTCCACATAAGCTATCCGAGATTTCCTTGTGTGATGTAATCTTACAACTTTCATGTTATTCTTTTCTTGGAATGAGAAACTTATCTGCTCATCGGTGATTAAACCACTTTCCATACCAAGTGTTCCTTGACAATGTAAATCTATTTTAAAACAAAAGAAAATCTAAAATTACCAAATAAAAAAAAGAGAGTCGCAACATCTCAATATACCTTAAATTGCTCACACGCCATTGGTAGATATTCTCCATTTTACATAATCTGAGTACATTTTGGCTTCTGTCCACATCAGGTGTACTCGTCACTTTTTAAAGCGACATTTTCTTTTTCCTGTAAAGCTCTGAATCGCTTGAAATTTAGAATCCTTGGAAAAGGAAATGTTGTTATAAAAGCAGGTATATAATTCATTTCCGGGCTTTCAATGAGGACCGAGCACCGTGGCTTTAAAAATTGGGAAAATCACGTCAATTAACTGTCAACAACTGGTAACAACAAACATATGCCTTCAACAAAATACTTGTATACTTGGAAATTAATCCTTTTTTCCTTGAGAAAGAAAACGTACAACAGAAAGGTCACGTTTAGCTCACCTTGAAGAAAAATTTCTTTATACTTCAGGTTAGTTCTAGCCATGTCGGCGTATAACTAACCGCCTGAGTAAAGGTCATTAAAGGCGATCGATGGCAATCTTAACTCATCCCACAAGATTTTTAGAACCTCTTTTAACTTGATTTACATACTTTCGCTACACGTTTACCTCCCATGGAATGAACATTGATTAATAACATTTTATAACGGTGAACCTACAATAGCTCAGACAAAATACCCCGCGAATTGCTATTTTCCTTCATTCAGATCCTTTGTGTGTAATTATGAATAAAGTTACCTATCACGCAACAACATTCCCACAAGCGGTCGAGGTGCAATTCAATAGTTAGACTAATTACGCCACAAAATTTTGGTACGTTGTTCCAGAAACAGAAGAACCAAATTAAAACACGAATGCTGATTGCACGGAGGTAAACTGCAAAATGTAGGAGGTGATGTGAATAAATAACATATCTTTCGTAACAAAGAGGACGTTAACATCACAGAAATTAAAGCGCCACAGATCTTAACACCGATAAAACTAATCCACATTGGTAAAAAAACATTTTCCCCGTTTAATTTAAACAAGACAAAATCGAGGGCACAAAAAAAATAATAATATTCATTCGCTCTTCCTTGATACGGCCATATAAATTTTAAACCAAGTTTCTACTTGTTGAAGCGAGAGTTGATATTCTGCGGCTCTTAGCTTTTTGCAGGAGCCCATTGGTTCCTGCTTTTTCTCACTAACAACCGCCGCTAGAGTTGCTGCAGTTTAGGGGAATTTAAGGTTATCGTTCTGAAAAATGACAAGACCGTGAGTGTATTTGCGCAAATAACTTATATTTTTGGAATTATTAGTACATCCAAATGAATCTGGGCCACGCCCGTTTAACACTATTTTGGTACCTTTTAGGGGTGTTTTCGAAATTCTCCGACGAGCACTCCTGTCATTTTTATATGGGAGTACCACCTGGGTTAACACTGACCTTTCAGATGTAACAGTTAGTCGCAAGAAGCCCTACATCGAAAAAACTGCAGTCGCAAAAATCTTTGTCGCCACCCTGAATACCCTTTAGGATTGTTAACGACGACGACTGATTATAATGAAGTGTGTCAATTAAATGTGCCCCTGAGATGGAAAAAAAAATGGTTGTAGCGTTATTCTCACTCAATTCCGATTTTGTTCTAATAGCTGCCTCTGAAGCCTTTTAATGGGTAACTGACGGCTAAAAGGTCACTTTTTCGGAATACCGTCTAAATGCCTCGGCTAACACATTGAAACAGATACAAGGTGCTTTGAATGCCTCTTTGTGCCTTTTTTCGCCGGGAAAACTGTCCAAGATGCAGCTTCGTGAGTCATCCACCATAAACGCTTCGATTTTGATCATGTGACTTGACTCGTCACACGTGTGTACATTAAGCAAAGTAAATAAGGCGGATAGTGCTTCGAGTGAAAGCAGTTCTATTCCGGGGTCTGATTATTCGGATTTTGAGGCTTCGATGGAAGGCGAACATAATGGAAGAGTTTATAAATCTGTTGGTAAAATCAGGCCCTGGCAATTTGAACCGCCAGGATGAACGTAACCTAAAATAGAGCGCGAGAGTCAGAGGAGGATCCATAGCCTGTGCGCCACGGCCGCCTCAATCAAGAAAGCGAGAATGGTGAGTGCATTTACGATTATAAATAAAGTATCTGAAAATCAGTCGCTTCTTAAACGTAGGAGCGATCAAGTAAAGAAAACCAAATGTACAGACTCTTGAATATCATGGGAGCGAAGTGTTTTTATGCTACACGCCCGCACCTTCCGAAGCTGTTTCACTGACTGAAAATTAATATAAACATACACGCTTGTGGAGGTGAATTGGCTGGATTATACACGTTCACACGCGAATGAATCAGTTTTATTTACGATAAACGAGCGCGAGTAATCTACTGTTCACTCAGCTGACATTGGTACATTTTTGAAACGAGTAACCTTTCGGACAGGATTGATTTCATCATGTTTCCGGTTGCAAATGAGAAACAACGCTTGAGCATGGCGCTCATAACAAGGCGATTCTTGTGACATCCGTTTATAGTATGGTTCTGTTGTTGTACACTTCCATTGGAAGTTAATTAAACTTGGGCACACGAATGTGCTGTATATGCTGCTCAATGTTAGATGTAATCATTCGTGAAAAACTCTCAGTTAGAAACGAAACGCATCGAAAGAAATAAACAAAAAGTTACAAAAGTAGGAAGTCATCTTTTGTGTTGCCCACTAGTCTCATTAAAAAATTTTAAAAAAGGATAAATCTTGCCCATTTCCGGACTGTGGAAGAAGACTTTCGTTCACGAAACCAGATGACGACCTCCCATAATACGTGACAATACTTTGCGTTTAGTCACGCTCACTCCTGAACCGATGGGCCTGAGGTCACAGTGATACACACCAGACAAAATCTAAAGACAAATATTTTTCGGCTTGGAATTAAAAAAATTTCTTTAAGTAAATAACTCGATAATAGTTAAGAGGAAAAATTGGGGGAACATATATATTTTTACAGCTGTTTGGAATAACGTGCAAATTATCTGTAGCTCTGAATACAGACATGCGATCCGTCGCGTTTCGATTATTCAACCTTCGTTATTTTATTTCTCACTTCGTATTTCGTAGTCTCTAAATGGTGACCTATATCAGAATCGAACAAATCTTACTTTTTTTCCGCTCGTAAATTTCGGCTGCAGCTGAACAGCCGAGACAAATTTGTTAGTCTCAGGTCTTGACATGAAACTTTTCACTGCCTTACACACGTGTGAAGTATCACACCACGTGACCTGAATCGAACCGTTTTCAAAATGGCCGTCGATTAGGCGCCAAAAAAATTTGTGGAAAATTTAATTCTGCATAATATATCGTTAATTTGCTCATTTGGATTCTTTTACCTAAGAGGAATGTATTGGGACAAAAAAAAGGAGAAACATTTGGCGTCAGTTACCCTTTAAGGTAGGATATCCGTGTCGCTAATTTGGAATCCATTTACTGATGTCGCAACCTCGTTCCCAAGGTTTCTCTTCTTCCTACCCCAATCTAAGAACTAGGTTGTCGATGTAATGAAATGGTCGTTATTGGTTTTCCTAGATGTCGTCAATTTGTTCGTTTCTTTGAAAGTCCTGTAAAATAGTTCAGCTAATGGCCCACAACACATTAGTAATTTAATGTTCTGTTTGCTTTTTTAGCTGCTTCTCGTTCCTCATGCAGTTAAAACCTCAGGGTCTAACAATCGCGTAATCACACTTTTTTCTATACGCTTTTGTATAGATTAGATCGTGTTAGTGTCGCTGTCTCAGCTTTTCATGCTCAAAACATGAAAAAGTTCCCAGAAGACTCACTTGCTGACTGCTGTACATTCCCGCTGCGTGTACAGTTAACTGAATTGAAAGTATATCTACATGAAGGGAATTTAGATTTCGTCTGTTCGTGTGGCTTCTTGTAATTTTGTTTTGCCTCTGAAAGATCATGAAAAAATAAGCTAGGAAAATTGAATAAACCCATGTAAGTACCAATCACGTATTTTTCGAATGTCTTTTAGGACATTTTGCCTTTTGACGGCTTTTTTATTTATGAAGATTTAAAAAGATATTTCTAGAAAAAATCCTATTACGTTTCTTAAGCCACTATAGGGTATCTTCAGAGAAATTATGAAGAATTTTGATTTTTCGAGATGTACCACGAATTTCCATTCTCGCTCGGTCTTAGTGGACATTCTCTATTCAATGTACACACTGAGTCTATCTTGTTGTGCTACTGAATGATTAACCAAGAGTCAAGACAGAGGGTACCTCTACATTTTCATTTGCTTCTAGTTCGGAAGCAGTGCTCATCAGCAACGTACACGAAGGTACGATCCAGAATTATTGAATTGAACCTTTTTTATCTCACTATTTATGCAGGAAAATGGTCTAGCATGCTAATATTGAATTTTTCTGCATATGGCTTGAAAATTGTCAGTTTGCACTCCTTTGGTATACACATGATCCACCCAGGATCACCGACCAGACGGCAGTTCAGAACTTCTTCCTTGGTGCATAAAATCTATCCTAGACCACCTTGTCGAATTTTTCCTTTACTTTTGCGGGTGCCACTCGAGAGAAAATGAAACTGAAACTCCGGAACCAAATGAATGCTTATCCGCCATGTCTTTGATAAAAGTGTAAAGGTATCAATTCGTGAAAAGATTTGATACTTGAATACTGAGTCTATTACCAATTGCTTCTTTGCGTATTTTTTTTAATACGCTCCCGACTAAAAATGGTCGGGTGATCTAGCGGCTAATGTAATTCTAAAATAAATGCTTCCTAAATGATAGTAAAAGGCCATTTCTCCTCCCAGTTCACAGCATACAACAATAGCTATAGGTACTAACCTAAATTCACACACTTGTAATTTACTTCCAAGTATTTAGATATGCCTGGGCATGGATCATGACCAAAAACTGAATTATCTGTGTGCAACTCGCAATTAGCTTCTTCGTTGCACTTCATCCGCACAATGACCAATGAGTTCTCAGCTTTACAGTTTGTATTGCTAACTCTGGGATAACTGCAAGTGATTGAGTCCAGTCTACCATAATTTGCATCCACAACTTCGATAATTCTTTGGTCATTATCACAACTTATGGTCCTTTTTCCTCCCTCGCAAATGATAACAGACCATAATATCTCTCAAATAAAAGAGGAAACAAACAGCACTATCGATACGCCAAAAGTTTTGGAATAATGTTCACTTAGAGAGCACCCTGCAATTTTGCTAGTCTCGTGCCGGCGTCTGTTCAACCAATAACTTAAAGGCTGACAATACTGCGTTTCTTGTCTGAAGCAGCCAAGTTTACATCAATTAGTTTGAAAGTTAACTTTTTTTTTAATTGTGAAAACGTTGTTTGGTACCTTAGCTTGTGACTGACCTGTGCAGTTGGTTCCATTTCCCTCATATCCATCTTTACAAGTGCATTTGTAAGATCCCAGGGTATTGTTACACACAGCATTCACATCACAACCGTGTATTTCTTTTAAACACTCATCTATGTCTGTGACAACAAAATTAAATCCCATCAGTGTATGAAAGTTATTTTGACATTGTTTGGTAACTTGGCTTGTTACTGACCTGTGCAGTTGGTTCCATTTCCCTCATATCCATCCATACAAGTGCATTTGTAAGATCCCAAGGTATTGTTACACTCAGCATTTACATCACAGTCGTGTTTTCCTTCAGTGCATTCGTTGGTATCTAAATCAACAAAAAACAGTTTTGTTTTCTGGTCATTCCTTTTTGTCACATGACAGGTACCATCGAGAAAATAGAGAGTATGATATGTTGCAACTGGTTACGTGTGCAGTTGGTTCCATTTCCTTGAATTCCATCTTTAAACGTGCAATTGTGAGATCTTAGGGTATTGTTACACTTAGTATTTACATTACAGTTTTGTGTTCCGATCATACACTCATCTAGATCTAGAACACGAAAAGGAAAATAATGTAAATGAGACCGTTTTTCTAACTTATCTGAAAAACTGAAGGTAACAAACGGAGTATGAATATGTCAGAACTAGTTACCTGTGCATTTGGTTCCATTTCCTTGAAATCCATCTTTACACGTGCACTTGTAAGATCCCAGGGTATTGTTACACTCAGCATTCACATCACAACCGTGTGTTCCGTTCAAACACTCATCTGTGTCTTGAGTGACGAATCCCATTCCAATATGAACCATGAGAAGCAAAAGAGTTGTTCATATGTAAGTCCTCTTTTGTATTTTGAATAACTTATGCCATTCTGGATTATTCTTCTCGCAAGCCATGAAAGGCAAAGACTTTTACCTTCAATGTTCTGTGACTTTCAAACTATTGAGGTGTTTGCGGTTGTTTGGTATTCATCCATTTCAAATAAGTCTGCCCAATCACCTTAAAGAACTTCAATTTGAGAGAGGGGCCTGCGGAGCTTATCACTTATGTATCATTTTTCTGGCTTACTAAAAATACAAGATTCCTTACCCTCATCACAATCATGGCCTTTAAATCCAGATCCACTAAGCCTAGCTTAGCATGTTGCGTTATTCTTGCAAGGATTTTGCGCACAAGCATTCCAAACATCTTTAAATTTAATTACATATTTAATGATTAAAATAATAATGTACCTGAACACGAGCGTCCATCGCCAGTGTATCCTTCCTTGCAGGTACAGTAATAGGAACCCACAGTGTTGGTACAGTATGCATTGACGTCACAGGCAATGTTTCCACTGATGCATTCATCATGATCTTGTTGGGGAGTGAAAAAAGAAAAAAGTAAAATTTAACCAACATTAATTTAGCAGGGAAACAGTACATTGTACTAAGTTGACAATCATGGCCACACAACACAAAAAAAATGTTTCTATTTTCTTCCAACAAAATGAACAATGCCTGCAATATTAACCCTTTAAGCCCTAAGAGTGACTGGCATCTAATTTCTCCATACCATATCAGCCCTGAATCAAACATTAAGGTCACAAGAATAAAGGAAATGATCACCAACTAAAGAAACTCTCGATTGTTAGACAAATTCTCCTTGTCAGCACCTTAGTAAATGTACAGAGAACAGTATGGAGAACATGAATACTGATGTTAGGGTGTAAAGGGTTAAAGCAAGAATGTTTTTCAAAACTTTACAAAAGTGTAGTGTGGTTAAACCCTGTCTATTTGCTTGTAATTTTTTTCCCTTTAGGATATTTTTTTCCCTTTTTACTAAACAACTGAAACTGCGCAATGCATTGTTTTCAGGACTGGTGTGATTTCTTTTACATCTTAAAGTAACCAAGGACGCTACCAAAAGAGCGACAATTCAAACAAAGAAAGAAAGCTACAACGGGGTAAATGTGACTTACCTTCCAAATTCATATCACAATAAACCAAAACTGCCTTCCCAGTGCCAGATGGATCCAGCCAGTAATTGTTGCTTGGTGTGTCTTTCCCTTCGCTTGCTGTTATTTCTTGGCATGAACGAGCTGGTAACCCCGGTATCGAACCCAAGGGAGCTGGTACGGGTAAAAATGTTGAAAATAAAGTATTCGTAAGCGCAGATGGTAAGGAAAAAGTGAAAAGCACGAGAGAATAAGAATGAAGCTCGAGTTCCATTCACTTGAATGTCCTTCTTTGGTTGTGAAATATTTCAACGTTCTGTCAAGCACAACCCTCTAGGGAGACAGGACCCCTCTCGCATAAAGCCCTCGTTCGAGCTTCCAATTCTTCAAAGTTCTTTACTGACCCTAAGCTTCTTGTAGAAATAACACAATCATTTGGTGTCAATGTTTTTGCATGTATCACAGCTGCTTTTTTTAAAAGAAGTTAACAAACATTTAAACTTAAAGGGAAAAAGAAAAGGATAAAATTTTCTATTTTAATTTGATAGAGCAATTGATACCAACGGGCACGGGAGATTGGAAAACACGGACTGTAAGCAGCATGATATTTATTCAAAGTGCTTGGTTGAGTACTTACCTCTTCCGTTTAAACGGCGAATATAAAACCACGCTGGGTCTGAGCGGAAATTCTCGGGTCTTGCATCCTTTGTGCGGTTGTTTAATTCACAGATCTGTTCTTTTCTGTTGAAATTATAGCTCTGGCAGATAATTTCCCTTTCACATAAGATATCACAGATGTGAGGAGCCGCCACCGCCATTCTCTTAAAAGCGAAACCTTTGAGAGCCATGCCACGAATGTTCATTTCTATCCTGCATTGATCCTCAGCGATTACAAGGTCGGTGACCGAGACACAGACAAGAAAATAACGAAATATCCAAGGCATTTTTCCTGAAAAACGAAATTCAGTGAGAGGTACGGGCCGGGTATTACGACATTAATGAATGAACCTGTTTCTTAAGGTTGACTGAGAACAGTGGATAGTTAGAATAGAAACCCCCTTTCTGGCATAAACTTATAAAAGAGAAATATGATTCGCTTTAGAATAATCTAAAAATGATAGAGTTTTCGAAGCAAAGATTAAACCCTGTAAAAAGGCATTCGTTTAGGGTGTGATGTTTTCTTTTGTATGAACTCAAATATTCGTAAACTAGTCAAAGATTCAAATCACATTAATTTTGCATCAGTTGAGTTTGATTCTCTTCGAATTCATTGTATTCTTCCAGCGAAAGAAGAGTTAGATTACAGTGCTACTCTATTGGCTTCTGTGTGATGAATTTGAGCGACGATCTAATTAGTTTTGAATATCCTCTCGGTTTACTTTTTTTGGGAAATATCGAAAACGAATTAACACAAAAACAAAACTTGTGGACTCCTGCATACCGAATAACGGGTCTGTTTTCAGGTTTAGCGTTGTTCATAAATGCCTTCAGTTTTAAGAGCATCCCGTACTTTGAATTGGTTGGCAATAGCATTTCTTCAGGAAAATTAAGTATTAAGTTAGATCTCTAAATATCAAATTGATTTCTTCTCGCAGACGATTTTAGTTAGAGGCGATGTTGTCGTTAAGGATTTCAGCCTGAGTTACAAAATGGGAGAACCTTTTGGTAAGGCATTGTACATTTGGTGTTCTCCCACAAAAAGAGACGTTTTTGCGTGGTGAGAGCGTGGAACTGTAATAGCCTGCCCGACAAATGTCCGTCGCATGTAGCAGCTTATACGGTGCTCAAATATATCATCGCCTCCTTCATGAATAGATGAAGTCTTGCAAACGAAAAAAACCCTCTATTACCCAATTCCAATCTGTTTACAGGTCAAAGAATTAAAATTAATTTCGTTATATTTTTTTCCCTTTTAAACCTCAAATGAAATTTAACGTTCTTATTTATTGTGCTCTCGACATTTTCCTGATTCTTTTGAGGCTTTTCTTGCGTTTTTTCAGTGCAGCACTTTCTCAATCCAAACTTTTGAGGACAAATATTAATAACACGGATGAATAGTTTTCGGTCCTTAGCGTCTATGATTAAAATTGTATTTCCTTTTCTCGGAAAAATCGATCGCGCTTCCCTTAAAATTGATATTTGTCTCATGGAAAACCTCAAATGTTAATCATAATCAGGCATTTTACATAACAATAATTCACCATAAGACCGCCCTTAAGTTATGACAACTTTATCGTGGAGCGAACAAAGCTCCCTTTATTCAAAATCTAATCTACCCATCCTTAAAACCCTTCAGAACCAAAAAACGTACAAAAGATAACTACCCTTACCAGGTGCTCTTAATAAAGTGATTTCATTCCTACTGTCATGGCTCAGTTGTAGATCACGTTGGTAAAGAACTCTTACTTAATAACCGAGAAACAAACCACCTATGGGGCAAATTATTCATGACAGTTTTTTAATAACTTGCATGTGATCTCTTCAGTGATACCAAATGAAATATACTGAACGCTTGAGACTCGCCGACAGATGTTGTCTGAAAATGTGAATACTTTACTTGCTATGGCGATATCGCTTCATGCAGGTTAGATTATTATTCTGCCTAAAACAAGGAGACAAATATATTTAGAATAGTTGCTCTTTTGTTCTGTTCTGCTTTCTTTGTTTGTTAATTTTGTTTTTCTTTCTCGCGGTAAAACAAGTTTAATTAATTTATACGCTCTCCTCGTCCGCCCACATTTGATGGAATAGTAGAGACGACCGTCTTACCAAAAAAGCGTCAATGACCCGAAATTTTTGGAACGTTAAAGAACGATTCAAATTATTTCGTGGGGCCAGTTTTCAAGTGGTCAAGTTTCAGAAGTAGATCACTTCCACCCTAACCCCCCCCCCCCCTGCCGCCTCTAATTCAGACCCTATGAGTTTGTTGTACAGCGGGTTTCACGAGCAATGGCCAAGGTGATGAAAAGCCCCGTCCAAGCTTCACTTCACGTCTTTTCAAAGACCTTTTGCCCGAAGTTAGACTTTTTTTATTGCATTTATCGCTTCCTTTCTGCAGGGGACTGTCATCATGGGAACCGACTTGTTTCAGTTGTGTTCAAACTGTGCAAGCGAATAATTAGCCCCATCGACATGACAAGTTTTTATAAAACCACACACGACAAAATCCACGAATATTACAGTGTATTTTGACTTCAGCTTGAAAGTGCTTAAGCCTCATATCACGCTTTTTTTTATTCTCACACTTATCCATATTTCCACTTCAATAATAATCACTGATCTATAACCATATATAGTCGGAGGTGGCAAGAAGCTAAAGCTAAATTCTACAATTTTACGACTTGAGAGATAATGGTTGCTTGACGTCTTTTCACGAATCTTTACTCTACAATATTGTTGTAAAGATCAAAAATTTCATCTCATACTCGGGACAAAGCTTTTAAGGAATGACATGAGTCGAAAAAATGCCTTTAATGTTAGGAGAATCTGGAAAAATGTGGCAACAGTCATGTCCCTGAAATTTCTTCAGCACATATAAGTTATCACACACTGCAAGACCCCCAACCCCCGCACCCGCTTCTGTAAATTTCGGTAAATTTGCTGGACACATCCAAAAATGTCTTTTAATTATTGAGAATGTTTTGGAGAGTTAATAGAGACACAAACTGCCTCTTATATCTGCAATTCACCATCCTTTACGCCTGTGTTCGAGGTCATTCTACGACCATGTGAGTCGTAGGTGAATCTTCCGTCTCTAACCAAGGGAGGCAACGTTGAGAAGGTTGAGAAAGTAAGGCAGGAGCAGAGACTGAAAGGATAAGGAAGCAAAAAACAAAAAAACCGAAAACCAAAAACGAAGGTCGGGAAATTGATATAGTGAACCGTATTTTCGGTGAAATATATTTTCCACGTTCTTTTCCTTAATAACTTTGTTCTCAGTTAGTGTTAATTTATAACTTAAGCGCAACTAACTAAAGAACCATTACTGACATCTAGGAATCAATTTAGTAATTTTTAATATAATGTAATTTAAATTGATACTACTGACTAAAAACTCACGGAAATGATAGTTGTTATTACAATTACACCTTTCTCCTCCTTTTTATGAGGAAGAGCTTGACAGCCTCCTAAAAAGTTACTCTAAACGTTGACAAAAACATACTAATCTAACAAGTAAATACAGTTAAGTTTATGTCATAACCTTAGCATATATAACCACTTTTACACACTGCTTTCTGAAAAGGGAAACAGAACCTAAATGACTGAATCTCATTTTAGAATTCGTTAGTCCCCACTTAATTAATCAACATCTGGAAACACATTACTTAAAGAGGCCACATCGACAATTTGGCATCAACCCTGGGCCATTTTTTTCAGTCACTTTACAGGATTCTGCTAGAGGTGAAGCTGAACCCTTTTCAATTGACTAGGAATCCTAAAACCAAAACTAAAACAATAAAAATATGATGTAATCCAATGATAAAAACCATAAGACACCAAACGTATCACAAAGTAGTAAAACACACTTTTCGCGAATAGTTTGCAACCGGCGCCGGTCGCGGTAAAAAAAATGCAGTCTGTCTCATGCTCAGCAAAATACGACCCAAAGGGAGGAGAAACAAGGATACTGGGTCTAACTGTAAGAATGAAAATTGAAAGTTCCTTTTGGTTTTGAGCTGACAAAGAAAAACAAATTGATTACATGATAAACCCTTACAGTCAATTGAAAAGCGTTCCTATAATGTGACACGTGAAATCTGAAGAACTGAACTCACAATAGTTTCTTTTTAAAATACTAGCTAGTCCTAATTCCTTGCTTGTTATTTAATGACTAATTATAAATTGATGATATCAACCAAGATACGACTATGTTCGTGATCGTCACATAGTCGATCTAACTTACAGTTCCAGCGAAAGCTATTAAAAGAATTCTGTTCCAGTGTGAGTCCTGATCAGTGGTCAGACTGAGAGCCTTTTTGGTCACACACTCTATTATAACACCAATTATTACGGCACCAGTTCGCTCTGTAGGCCTATCAGTATTCCCAGTCCAATGAATGGACGTGGTTTTGAAACAGAACACCGAATAATGACATAATATTTGATTCCCATCCTTACTTTTGCTTTCACGTATTTCGAGAAACGAGACCGAATCATTGATGAGATTCATCAGTGAAACCACAAAGCGTAAGAGTTGTGCCCTCGCCTCTATATTTCGGCCCTCTCTTTTTCTACTGTCCGGATCCTTCCAACCTAAGGTGTTATTGAAAGCTTTGGAACATTAAATCAAAAGTATCATTGTAAAACCAAAACAAAGATAAAATATTTATAAATAGAGGATTCTGTTGATAATCAACAAATGAGGCCATACAAATCCCAAATCAAATAAAAGTTTTTTGGATAATTTGTAACTAGCGCCAATGGCTGTAAAACTGCAATCTGTGTCGTGCGAAAAAATGCAATCAGTCGGTCCAAAGAGCGGCCGGAAAAACAAAGATACTGGGTCTAACTGATCGTATTAAACTTGAAAATCGAGTTTGGTTTTGACTTAATCAACAAAAATGAATCGACAAACCCTCGTAGTCAGTTGAAAATCATTCTTAAATATGTGTAATGATTGAAGTGCAGAAAAATACGAAATACTATGTTCACAACATTTTCTCTACAAAATACTTACTAGTCCTCATTATCTGCATGTTATTTGTTAATTAGCTCTGAATTGCTGCACATGCCCATCTGATAAATTGCTCAGAAAAGAGCCGGAAAAAGAACAAAACAGCAGTTTTTATGGGAGACGTAACCCTTGTGTCAAGAGATGTTCTCAAAAAAAACATTCTAGAAAACTATGTTTGTAAATATAAAATCTGAACTAAAAAACAAATGACTTTAATTCCCATGAGGGGACGCAAGCGGCCTCAACTGTAAGTACTTTTTAGAAATGCTAAGATATTATCCTAGCATATGTCACAGAAATGTCACTAGACCTAAAGTACGCCAGATGAGGGCGAATAAATCGTGTGGATATATTTCTCTTTATAATCTACAATGTAACGCAAAGGAACCGGCCGAGTAATAAAGGCACTATTGATTGCTTGTGAAACAAAAGCATTAGCTGATGGCATTTTGAGATCAGGCATTAATTCATTTATCTTTTCATATTTATTCGCCCTCATCTGGCGTACTTTAGGTCTAGTGACATTTCTGACATACACACGGATTTTGACACTCTCGTGCACCTCGGAATGTTAGGAATGCTAGGATAATATCCTAGCATTTCTAAAAAGTACTTACAGTTGAGGCTGCTTGCGTCCCCTCATGCAGGTTGTACCGTTTGGCAAACACTTTAAAGCGCTCAGTAACTGACCTTGAATATTAATTAAAATATTATTCAATTCCGGAGTTTAAAGACTAACAACAATCGGCCTTCAAAACAGAATTAGCCTCACACGTTAGAGAAAGTGCTGCCATGGGCATGTCACTGAAGAAACGTGATGATCACTCTACCATGTCCATACCTATTAAAACAACATTCATTCTGCTGATTTGTCCCACTGTTAAAAGATCCTCCCCCTCCTCCACAAGAAAACTGTTCATTAGCTCCACCATTTCCTCCAGAGTAACCTCCACCGCCTCCAGCTCCGCCGTTACCTCCTCGTAAACCACCGCCACCTCCACGTAAACCACCGCCACCTCCAAACCCACCCCTACCATTTCCACCCTCTCCTCCCTGAAGATATCCTTTACCTCCTCGACCAGTACCGCTCGAAGCGCTTTGTCCATTACTGTAGAAGCCGCCGCCACCACCACCTACAATAAACGAAAATTGAGAAGCAGTTGTCCCATAAATGGCTTCTATTTGACTACTTACTTAAGAGCGTTTAAACGACGATTCGCAATATTATCAACTTAGTGCACTTCTCAATTTTTAGAAATTTATTTCAAAATATTATTGGGTAGTCAATTGCTAGAAATAGAACAGCTTATCAGGACGAAAGAAATGTACATGAAGTGATGCATAGGTTTTTTTAAAAAACTGATATGCCTCTGAGAAAAGAAAAACTTCAAAGTTAGAATTATTAATTTCAACAATTAAGTTCTGATAAATCTTACTGTCTTCCTCTTGTCCTAATGGATTGAACCTACTGATTGTTTTGTTTTTTCTTCTTTCTCCGCGTACCTGAATATTTTGTACTGGCCTTTCCTCCATTTCCGTTGCTTCCTCCTGAACCCAATGGCAAGTTATACCCTCCATTCCCTTTTGTGTTTATGGACGCATCACATCCAGGATGTTGTTCCAATACATTTTTCATTCCTCCTCCACCTCCAGCTATAATCAAAAACTTATTGTTTTCACTGACTACAAATGTACCTCCTCCACCTCCGGCAGTTTTTGGGTTTGAATTCCCTTTTTCCCCTTTTTGACCAACAAGTACATAAATGATCTCATCTTTGGTCAAATTAAAGTTTCCAATCATTCGTGCCCCTCTTCCTCCGGTTTTGATAAAACTGTCCTCACTGTACCCCCCTGAGGCTCCTATTGCTTCTATTCTGTATTTACCAGTGCGTGGCACAGTCCAATCTTGAATACCGCTGGACACTGTTACTTGTCCGTCATGGTCTTGATCTTTGTAATGACTACCAATCGACTTTGGACCCTCTGATCCAATCTTACCAAGATTTGTAAACACAGCTGTAAATCCTGCATAAAACCATACAATAAAAGTAATGTTGCTGGTAAGAAATTGTCAAAATTTTCTTTGCCATTTCTAATGATACTATTAATGAGGAAATGTTATTATAGTTACGTAAATTATTGAATCACCGAAAGAATGGAATAGAAACGTCAGTCACTTGGAGTGTTCGAACAAGTCGTACTGTGCATTTTCCGACGCTTCCTCACGTTTGTATTTTTAGAAAGTAGAAATCCTCGATAGTCGGGCATTGACTTACTTCATTACTTCTAAGGATTACATTCGACAATAACATATTGATTGCCGACCTGAATAAAAATGGTGTTTTTGAATACCGACGTGATACTTTTATAAACTGTGCGGTTGAGCCATCACGAGGTTTTGTTGTTGGGGAATCTAAAAATCTCAAGAGAAGACAAGGTTTCCTTCCCATTCCCACAATTAGAGTAGTTTTTCTCGTCAGATTATTCCAGTTTGTGGTTCGGCGATCACACGTGACAGTGAAAAGAGGAGAGCAAAGAAGTAAGGAACTCCATGTCACCAAAGCTGATGAGTCAATTGAATAATACTATGCAGAGCAATTTTCAAATGATTACAACAAGTTGTCCAGGATTTTATTGGTTTTTTGCCTCTCTTCGCCCTGTTATTGGTCCAGAAAACTCGCGTCAACTTGTAGCAGCTCGATTGTGATTTAGATGACACACAGTAAACAATATCCAAGCGCTCGCTTTTGAACAGGAAATGAAGCATTATCTGGTGTAAATTACTAGTTACAAGAAGTACCTCTCAATCGTTATTGTCATTCAGGCCTTACCTTGTACACAGCCATACAGTTCTACCCTCATTGATATCCAGTCCTGCCACTCTACTGGTTTAAAACGAATGTAACGCGCTGTGATTGGTGGGTTAAGGTCGTGATAAACCACGGTATTCTGATCAGTGTTTCCAGCAAAAACCTTTGAATTAACAACATAAGAGGTTTCCCATTAATTCTTTGATAAGAATTAATTTTATGAATATTAGTTATTACGATGTGAAAACAGTCCCACAACTCATTCATACACCATTCTTATAATCGTGCCTCTCTAGGGGCCTCAATATTATGCAATTATTACCGGCGGTGCGTTTGCAAAATCCCTGCAAATGATGATCCAAAAGTACTTCTTTTCTTGTTTAAACGAGAATCAATACACAAGAAATCAATTTTACCTTCGTTGTGTTTTGTCCTGGGGCTGTATAATTGTAAAACCTTTCAGTATCGTTGCCGTACTGCAGATTGTACTTTGTAACCCACTCTCCCTGGTGTCCATTATTTCCTTGTGTTGCCACACGTGTCACTCGAGTGTGCAGAATAACCAGATCAACTTGGAGCCACTGATCCGTATCACTATTTTCAGCTGCCCAAGATCCCGCTCTGTCAGGATTTACAAAATGAAGTCTGCTCTGAGTGGAGGAGTGGTTAGAATCTCTCTCTGAAGAGGTGCTCAACTGTCCGTCAGAGATTTCACCGCTTTGCATGCCGAGAAATCTTCCACATTCTGTTTACGAAAGGTTAGCAGGCGTTTTACAAATATAAGTTATCTACGGCAGCGAATTAAAAGCAGCTATGAGATCATGAAACAATTAATCAAGCGTAGATTACAAAAATGTTGTTAACATGGTTGCATAAACTTTTAACGAAATGAAGTATTTTAGAGAGCTCCTATGATCAGATCAACTGTAGTGCGGTGTCCTTTTCTTTCTCAAGCTTATTAGGAGAAAACTTCTTATAGTTTCGACGATTGAAATTTAGAAGAAATTTTCGGACACACCAGTCAATGCTTTTGATATTTTCTTACGTTTTTGCTTTGGCTGATTTAACTTCTAACTTTCATTACCTTTATCTAGTTTTTCTTGGCCAGAGGATCTTTAATTGGATTCAGTACAAAACAGTATCACTTGTTAAGCCGATTAGATACAATGATTCTCAGCTTTAGATGAAACCTATTTTCCTTACCTTTGACGCATCCATACAATTCCACTCTCATTGATATCTCGTCATTCCACTCCACGGGTAGAAAACGTATGTACCTCGCTGGGATCTGTGGGTTCAGGTCGTGATAAACAACACTGTTCTTGTCTGTGTTTCCGTTAAATTCCTGCATCATAAAAGATGTGAAATAAATGTTGAGTGTTTTTATTTAAAATGCACGATACGTGCCCGCCTTGTATACATAAGAACTTTTTTAAATAAAATCTATATAATTATATTATGCAATGTTTTTCGCTAGATAAACCGTGAAATATCTCACGAGCGATTTGATTCATGAAATTCATCTCATGCCACCGTACGGTAAAATTAGCTCGAACTTTTTCTACAAATATCTATCTAAGGTTAATCAAAAACTGGTTAGATGAGATTTGAACCCGGGCAAAGAAAATGGTATTTATATGAAATTTTCATACATCGTCGCAATTCTCTAGAACAACTACCGACTCATGCATCGTAACAAATCGAGAAACGAAGCTAATCTGATTGCAGAGAGGACTGTTTGTCCTGACAAACTACTCAAAGAACGTATTGGGAACTTTGAGTTATGGAATGAACTTAGCTTTGTTTACAATGAGCAGCTCATGTTATAGAACCCTTCGCCACCTCTGATCAGTTTTACCTTTGATATGGTTTGTCCTTGTTCCTTGTAGTTTTGAAATCTCACTCCATAGTTGCTGTATTGTAGCTTGTACTTCTTCACCCATTTGTTATGTTGATGGGATCCCTGTGTTGATACTCGTGTTACTTTAGTGTTTTGAGCTCTGAGATCGAGCTGAAGCCACGGATTAGAATCCTTCCTATCAGCTATCCAAGTCGTCCCTGTGTGATGTAATCTTACAATTTTTGCGTCATTCTCTTCTTGGGAAGAGAAACTTATCTGCTCATCGGTGATTACACCGCTTTCCATACCAAGTGTTCCTTGACAACGTAAATCTATTTTAAAACAAAAGGAAATCTTAAATTACCAAATAAAAAAAGATAGTCGCAACAACTCAATAGAACTTAAATTTCTCACACGCCATCGGTAGATATTTTCCATGTTACGTAATCTGAGTACATTTTGGCTTCTTCCCACATCAGGTGTATTTTTTTAATGAGAAAATACCTACTTAATGCTGATTACATGTTTGTGTATAAACACTGTTGCGAAGAGCTTGGTGTATAATCTTCCATTTTTAACAGATCAAGAGCATCAGATCTCCACTGAGGCGCGCCACTCACGACAAAATGAAACTGAAACCTCGGAAACAAATGAATACTTATCCACCATGTCTTTAATAAAAGTGTAAAGGTATTAATTCGAAAAAAGATTTGATATTTGAGTACTGACTATATTACCGATTGCTTCTTTGCGTATCTTTTTTTAATACGCCCCCGACTGAAAATGGACGGGTGATCTAGCGCCTAATGCAATTCTAAAATAAATGCGTCCTAAATGGTAGCAAAAGGCCATTTCTCCCCCCAGTTCACAGCATACAACAATAGCTATGGGTACTAACCTAAATTCACACACTTGTACTTGACTTCCAAGTATTTATATGTGCCTGGGCATAGATCCCCAAAAACTAAAGAATCTGCATGCAGCTCGCAACTAGCTTCTTCGTTGCACTTCAACCGCACAATGAAAAGAGAGTTCGCAGCTTTGCAGTTTGTATCGCTAACTGCGGAATGATGGCAAGTGTTTGAGTCCAGTCTACCATAATTTGCATCCACAACGTCGATAGTTCTTTGGTCATTATCACAACTTATGGTCCTTTTTCCTCCCTCGCAAATGATAACAGACCATAATTTCTCTAAATAAAGGAGGAACCAAAAAACACTATCAATACGCCAAAAGTTTTGGAATAATGTTCACTTGCAGAGCACCCTGCAATTTTGCTAGTCTCGTGCCGGCGTCTGTTCACAGTTAACAGTTAACTTTTTTTTTAATTGTGAAAACATTGTTTGGTACCTTGGCTTGTTACTGACCTGTGCAGTTGGTTCCATTTCCTTCATATCCATCCTTACAAGTGCATTTGTAAGATCCCAAGGTATTGTTACACTCAGCATTTACATCACAGTCGTGTTTTCCTTCAGTGCATTCGTTGGTATCTAAATCAACAAAAAACAGTTTTGTTTTCTGGTCATTCCTTTTTGTCACATGACAGGTACCATCGAGAAAATAGAGAGTATGGTATGTTGGTTACGTGTGCAGTTTGTTCCATTTCCTTGAATTCCATCTTTACACGTGCAATTGTGAGATCTTAGGGTATCGTTACACTTAGTATTTACATTACAGTTTTGTGTTCCGATCATACACTCATCTAGATCTAGAACACGAAAAGGAAAATAATGTAAATGAGGCCGTTTTTCTAACTAATCTGAAAAACTGAAGGTAACAAACGGAGTATGAATATGTCAGAACTAGTTACCTGTGCAGTTGGTTCCATTTCCCTCATATCCATCCTTACAAGTGCATTTGTAAGATCCCAAGGTATTGTTACACTCAGCATTTACATCACAGTCGTGTTTTCCTTCAGTGCATTCCTTGCTATCTAAATCAACAAAAAACAGTTTTGCTTTCTGGTCATTCCTTTTTGTCACATGACAGGTACCATCGAGAAAATAGAGAGTATGGTATGTTGGTTACGTGTGCAGTTTGTTCCATTTCCTTGAATTCCATCTTTAAACGTGCAATTGTGAGATCTTAGGGTATCGTTACACTTAGTATTTACATTACAGTTTTGTGTTCCGATCATACACTCATCTAGATCTAGAACACGAAAAGGAAAATAATGTAAATGAGACCGTTTTTCTAACTAATCTGAAAAACTGAAGGTAACAAACGGAGTATGAATATGTCAAAACTAGTTACCTGTGCAGTTGGTTCCATTTCCCTCATATCCATCCATACAAGTGCATTTGTAAGATCCCAAGGTATTGTTACACTCAGCATTTACATCACAGTCGTGTTTTCCTTCAGTGCATTCGTTGCTATCTAAATCAACAAAAAACAGTTTTGTTTTCTTGTCATTCCTTTTTGTCACATGACAGGTACCATCGAGAAAATAGAGAGTATGGTATGTTGGTTACGTGTGCAGTTTGTTCCATTTCCTTGAATTCCATCTTTACACGTGCAATTGTGAGATCTTAGGGTATCGTTACACTTAGTATTTACATTACAGTTTTGTGTTCCGATCATACACTCATCTAGATCTAGAACACGAAAAGGAAAATAATGTAAATGAGACCGTTTTTCTAACTAATCTGAAAAACTGAAGGTAACAAACGGAGTATGAGTATGTCAAAACTAGTTACCTGTGCAGTTGGTTCCATTTCCCTCATATCCATCCTTACAAGTGCATTTGTAAGATCCCAAGGTATTGTTACACTCAGCATTTACATCACAGTCGTGTTTTCCTTCAGTGCATTCGTTGCTATCTAAATCAACAAAAAACAGTTTTGCTTTCTGGTCATTCCTTTTTGTCACATGACAGATACCATCGAGAAAATAGAGAGTATGGTATGTTGGTTACGTGTGCAGTTTGTTCCATTTCCTTGAATTTCATCTTTAAACGTGCAATTGTGAGATCTTAGGGTATCGTTACACTTAGTATTTACATTACAGTTTTGTGTTCCGATCATACACTCATCTAGATCTAGAACACGAAAAGGAAAATAATGTAAATGAGACCGTTTTTCTAACTAATCTGAAAAACTGAAGGTAACAAACGGAGTATGAGTATTTCAAAACTAGTTACCTGTGCAGTTGGTTCCATTATCCTCATATCCATCCTTACAAGTGCATTTGTAAGATCCCAAGGTATTGTTACACTCAGAATTTACATCACAGTCGTGTTTTCCTTCAGTGCATTCGTTGCTATCTAAATCAACAAAAAAACAGTTTTGTTTTCTGGTCATTCCTTTTTGTCACATGACAGGTACCATCGAGAAAATAGAGAGTATGGTATGTTGGTTACGTGTGCAGTTTGTTCCATTTCCTTGAATTCCATCTTTAAACGTGCAATTGTGAGATCTTAGGGTATCGTTACACTTAGTATTTACATTACAGTTTTGTGTTTCGATCATACACTCATCTAGGTCTAGAACACGAAAAGGAAAATAATGTAAATGAGACCGTTTTTCTAACTAATCTGAAAAACTGAAGGTAACAAACGGAGTATGAATATGTCAAAACTAGTTACCTGTGCAGTTGGTTCCATTTCCCTCATATCCATCCATACAAGTGCATTTGTAAGATCCCAAGGTATTGTTACACTCAGCATTTACATCACAGTCGTGTTTTCCTTCAGTGCATTCGTTGCTATCTAAATCAACAAAAAACAGTTTTGTTTTCTGGTCACTCCTTTTTGTCACATGACAGGTACCATCAAGAAAATAGAGAGTATGGTATGTTGGTTACGTGTGCAGTCGGTTCCATTTCCTTGAATTCCATCTTTAAACGTGCAATTGTGAGATCTTAGGGTATTGTTACACTTAGTATTTACATTACAGTTTTGTGTTCCGATCATACACTCATCTAGATCTAGAACACGAAAAGGAAAATAATGTAAATGAGACCGTTTTTCTAACTTATCTGAAAAACTGAAGGTAACAAACGGAGTATGAATATGTCAGAACTAGTTACCTGTGCATTTGGTTCCATTTCCTTGAAATCCATCTTTACACGTGCACTTGTAAGATCCCAGGGTATTGTTACACTCAGCATTCACATCACAACCGTGTGTTCCGTTCAAACACTCATCTATGTCTTGAGTGATGAATCCCATTCCAAGATGAACCATGAGAAGCAAAAGAGTTGTTCATATGTAAGTCCTCTTTTGTATTTTGAATAACTTATGCCATTCTGGATTATTCTTCTCGCAAGCCATGAAAGGCAAAGGCTTTTACCTTCGATGTTCTGTGACTATCAAACTATTGAGGTGTTTGCGGTTGTTTGGTATTCATCCATTTCAAATAAGTCTGCCCAATCACCTAAAAGAACTTCAATTTGAGAGAGGGGCCGGCGGAGCTCATCACTTATGCATCATTTTTCTGCCTTACTAAAAATACAAGATTCCTTACCCTCATCACAATCATGGCCTTTAAATCCAGATCCACTAACACGGAAACAGTGATAATCTCTGTCTGTAAACCTAGCTTGGCATGTTGCGATATTCTTGCGAGGATTTTGCGTATAAGCATTCCAAACATCTTTAAATTTAATTACATATTTAATGATTAAAATAATAATGTACCTGAACACAAGCGTCCATCGCCAGTGTATCCTTCCTTGCAGGTACAGTAATAGGAACCCACAGTGTTGGTACAGTATGCATTCACGTCACAGGCAATGTTTCCACTGATGCATTCATCATGATCTTGTTGGGGAGTGAAAAAAGAAAAAAGTAAAATTTAACCAACATTAATTTAGCAGGGAAACAGTACATTGTACTAAATTGACAATCATAGCCACATAACACAAAAATAATGTTTCTGTTTTCTTCCAACAAAATGGACAATGCCTGCAATATTAACCCTTTAAGCCCTAAGAGTGACTGGCATCTAATTTCTCCATACCATATCAGCCCTGAATCAAACATTAAGGTCACAAGAATAAAGGAAATGATCACCAACTAAAGAAACTCTTGATTGTCAAACAAATTCTCCTTGTCAGCACCTTAGTAAATGTACAGAGAACAGTATGGAGAATATGAATACTGATGTTAGGGTGTAAAGGGTTAAAGCAAGAATATTTTTCAAAACTTTATAAAAGTGTAATATGGTTAAACCCTGTCTATTTGCTTGTATTTTTCCCTCTTGGGTATTTTTTTTTCTTTTTAATATACAGCTGAAACTGCGCAATGCATTGTTTTCAGGACTGGTGTGATTTTTTACATCTTAAAGCAACCAAGGACGCTACCAAAAAAAGCGACAATTCAAACACACAATGAAAGCTACAACGGGTTAAATGTGAATTACCTTCCAAATTCATATCACAGTAAACCAACACTGCCTTCCCAGTGCCAGATGGATCCAGCCAGTATTTGTTGCTTGGTGTGTCTTTCCCTTCGCTTGCTGTTATTTCTCGGCATGAACGTGCTGGTAACTCCTGTATCGAACCCAAGGGAGCTGGTACGGGTAAAAATGTTGAAAATAAAGTATTCGTAAGCGCAGATGGAAAGGAAAAAGTGAAAAGTACGAGAGAATAAGAATGAAGCTCGAGTTCCATTCACTTGAATGTCCTTCTTTGGTTGTGAAATATTTCAACTTTCTGTCAAGCACAACCCTCTGGGGAGACAGGACCCCTCTCGCCTAAACCCCTCGTTCGAGCTTCCAATTCTTCAAAGTTCTTTACTGACCCTAAGCTTCTTGTAGAAATAACACAATCATTTGGTGTCAATGTTTATAGAGCTGCTTTTTTAAAAAGAAGTTAACAAATATTTAAACTTAAAGGAATAAAGAAAAGGATGAAATTTTCTATTTTGATAGAGAAATTGATACCAACGGGCGCTGGAGATTGGAAAACACGGTCTGTAAGCAGCATGATTTTTATTCAAAGTGCATGGTTGAGTACTTACCTCTTCCGTTTAAACGGCGAATATAAAACCACGCTGGGTCTGAGCGGAAATTCTCGGGTCTTGCATCCTTTGTGCGGTTGTTTAATTCACAGATCTGTTCTTTTCTGTTGAAATTATAGCTCTGGCAGATAATTTCCCTTTCACATAAGATATCACAGATGTGAGGAGCCGCCACCGCCATTCTCTTAAAAGCGAAACCTTTGAGAGCCATTCCACGAATGTTCATTTCTATCCTGCATTGATCCTCAGCGATTGCAATGTTGGCGACCGAGACACAGACAAGAAAATAACGAAATATCCAAGGCATTTTTCCTGAAAAACGAAATTCAGTGAGAGGTACGGGCCGGGTATTACGACATCAATGAATGAACCTGTTTCTTAAGGTTGACTGAGAACACTGGATAGTTAGAATAGAAACCCTCTTTCTGTCATAAACCTATATAAGAGAAACATGATTCGCTTTAAAATAATCTTAAAATGATAGAGTTTTCGAAGCAAAGTGATGTTTTCTTTTGTATGAACTCAAATATTCGTAAACAGGTCAAAGATTTAAATCACATTAATTTTCCATCAGTTGAGTTTGATTCTCTTCGAATTCGTTGTATTCTTTCAGCGAAAGAAGAGTTAGATTACAGTGCTACTCTATTTGCTTCTGTGTGATGAATTTGAGCGACGATCTATTTAGTTTTGAATATCCTCTCGGTTTACTTTTTGTGAACCGGAAATGTCGAAAACGTTTTACGTTAGAATTAACACAAAAACAAAACTTGTGGACAGCTGCATACTGAATAACTAGACTGTTTTCAGGTTTAGCCTTGTCCATTAAAGCCCTCAGTTTTAAGAGCATCCCGTACTTCGGTTAGCAATAGCTTTTCTTCAGGAAAATTAATTATTGAGTTAGATCTCTTGGTATTAAGTTGATTTCTCCTCGCAGATGATTTTAGTCAGAGGTGGTGTCGTCGGTGAGGATTTCAGCATGCATTACAAAATGAGAGAACCTTTTGGTAAGGCGTTGAACATTTGGTGTTCTCCCACAAAAAGAGACGTTTTTGCGTGGTGAGAGCATGGAACTGTAATAGCCTTTTTCAGTGCAGCACTTTTTCAATCCAAACTGTTGAGGACAAATATTAATAACACGGATGAATAGTTTTCGGTCCTTAGCGTCTATGATGAAATTTTTGTTTCCTTTTCTCGGAAGAATTGATCGCGCTTCCCTTAAAAATTGATATTTGTCTCATTGAAAACCCCAAATGTTAATCATAATCAGGCATTTTTCATAACAATAACTGACCACAAGACCGCCCTTAAGTTATGACAACTTTATTGTGGAGCGAACAAAGCTCCCTGCGACTCAGTGTCTTCATTCAAAAACTAATCTACCCATCCTAAAAACCCTTCAGAACCAAATAACGTACAAAAGATAATTACCCTTACCAGGTGCTTTTAATAAAGTGATTTCATTCCTACTGTCATGGCTCAGTTGTAGATCACTTTGGTAAAGAACCTATACTTAATAGCCGAGAAACAAACCACCCACTCAGTGTCTTTATTCAAAAACTAATCTACCCATCCTAAAAACTCTTCAGAACCTGCGAACAAAGCTCCCTGCGACTCAGTGTCTTCATTCAAAAACTAATCTACCCATCCTAAAAACCCTTCAGAACCAAATAACGTACAAAAGATAATTACCCTTACCAGGTGCTTTTAATAAAGGGATTTCATTCCTACTTTCATGGCTCAGTTGTAGATCACATTGGTAAAGAACCCTTACTTAGTAGCCGAGAAACAAACCACCTTTGGGGCAAATTATTCATAACAGTTTTTTAATAACTTGCATGTGATCTCTTCAGTGATACCAAATGAAATCTACTGAACGCATGAGACTCGCCGACAGATGTTGTCTGAAAATGTGAATACTTTACTTGCTATGGCGATATCGCTTCATGCAGGTTAGATTATTATTCTGCCTAAAACAAGGGGACAAATATATTTGGAATAGTTGCTTTTTTGTTCTGTTCTGCTTTCTTTGTTTGTTAATTTTATTTTTCTTTCTCGCGGTAAAACAAGTTTTTTCAATCGGTACAAACAGATAAGAAGTCTATGCTATGCTTTGATATACGAATCTTTACGAAAAATATATAAGCGATAGGAGTTTTACAAAATTGGTAATTGTCCAAACTAATTAATTATATATGTAGACATCTTATCGATATTCAGCGCTCGTAGGAAGAATCAGCTTATAAAAAGTTTCTAAGATTCATGCCGTTTAGGGTGCATCAATTTAAAAGCATACGGACTATTGTGGATACGTTTAAGTGATTTAAACCGGAAATACACGAATCTTCTGATTAAGATTTTGTGAAATTTGAACAAAGCTTAAGATCAACTTTAGAGCCAATTTGTGACAAAGAGCCACGTAACATGTTTCGGCGAAAAGTTTAAAGAACTGCTTTTTTTTTAATCGTCATGTGGCCCATAAGAATTAATTTTTTGTGACGAAACCGTAGAAAAGCTGTGTCAAGTTTTATATTGATCCGGCCGAGCTTTTTCAGTCAAGTTTAAATAAACCTCTCACCTTCTTTTTAAAATGCAAAAGTCTGTCACTAGTCATCTTATCCATCTTTTGGAATCGAAAAGTTAAAAATGTTCATGAACAGCATTGCAGAGACGTGAATAATTACCCTCAGGTAAACCTTCGCTTTAGGCTTCTTCAAAAACTATTTCCCTAAAACTTCATCCGTTTGTACTCATCTTGCTTCAAAAAGTTGGATTGCAAAATGGCAAAATATTCACGAACCTCTTGTAAAATGTATTTGTTATCCAATACTATTGCGCGAAGAGTGAGTATTGAGACGAAATAATTCATTATACCAATACTAGGAGAAGAGTTTTGTGCGAATATTTCAAGGCCTTGTTAGGTTAATAAAGATAACAAAAGAGTATTAAAATGCGCTCGTAAACTTCAAAATATTACTCTGACTATGAATAAGACATTACTGTAGGAAAATCTTACCTTGTCCTTCTGGAATTAGTGAAGTCAAAACAGTGAAAACGAAGCTTTAGAGTACAAAGAGAATGTAAAAAAATAAAGCCCGTTATAATTTTAGCAAACAGCTACAGTGAGTTTTTGATAAACAAAACTTAATTAGTTTCTTTGGAATGTAGTTGGTTGGTGAAACTCCATTATACTTAATTCATATTAATGGTTTTTATACAGTTGCATAGAGGAAGTTGTTATTTAAAAGTTTATCTATTCTGGCTTAATTATGTCCGTGCAAGTGTAACATATGACACAAAGCTACATGAAGACTGTTTATCAAATGTTTATACGCTCTCCTCGTCCGCCCACATTTGATGGAATAGTAGAGACGACCGTCTTACCAAAAAAGCGTCAATGACCCGAAATTTTTGGAACGTTAAAGAACGATTCAAATTATCTCGTGGGGCCAGTTTTCAAGTGGTCAAGTTTCAGAAGTAGATCACTTCCACCCTAACCCCCCCCCCCCCCTGCCGCCTCTAATTCAGACCCTATGAGTTTGTTGTACAGCGGGTTTCACGAGCAATGGCCAAGGTGATGAAAAGCCCCGTCCAAGCTTCACTTCACGTCTTTTCAAAGACCTTTTGCCCGAAGTTAGACTTTTTTTATTGCATTTATCGCTTCCTTTCTGCAGGGGACTGTCATCATGGGAACCGACTTGTTTCAGTTGTGTTCAAACTGTGCAAGCGAATAATTAGCCCCATCGACATGACAAGTTTTTATAAAACCACACACGACAAAATCCACGAATATTACAGTGTATTTTGACTTCAGCTTGAAAGTGCTTAAGCCTCATATTACGCTTTTTTTTATTCTCACACTTATCCATATTTCCACTTCAATAATAATCACTGATCTATAACCATATATAGTCGGAGGTGGCAAGAAGCTAAAGCTAAATTCTACAATTTTACGACTTGAGAGATAATGGTTGCTTGACGTCTTTTCACGAATCTTTGCTCTACAATCTTGTTGTAAAGATCAAAAATTTCATCTCATACTCGGGACAAAGCTTTTAAGGAATGACATGAGTCGAAAAAATGCCTTTGATGTTAGGAGAATCTGGAAAAGTGTGGCAACAGTCATGTCCCTGAAATTTCTTCAGCACATATAAGTTATCACACACTGCAAGACCCCCAACCCCCGCACCCGCTTCTGTAAATTTCGGTAAATTTGCTGGACACATCCAAATTTCCTTTAACTATTGAGAATGTTTTGGAGAGTTAATAGAGACACAAACTGCCTCTTATATCTGCAATTCACCATCCTTTACGCCTGTGTTCGAGGTCATTCTACGGCCATGTGAGTCGTAGGTGAATCTTCCGTCTCTATCCAAGGGAGGCAACGTTGAGAAGGTTGAGAAAGTAAGGCAGGAGCAGAGACTGAAAGGATAAGGAAGCAAAAAACAAAAAAACTGAAAACCAAAAACGAAGGTCGGGAAATTGATATAGTGAACCGTATTTTCGGTGAAATATATTTTCCACGTTCTTTTCCTTAATAACTTTGTTCTCAGTTAGTGTTAATTTATAACTTAAGCGCAACTAACTAAAGAACCATTACTGACATCAAGGAATCAATTTAGTAATTTTTAATATAATGTAATTTAAATTGATACTACTGACTGAAAACTCACGGAAATGATAGTTGTTATTACAATTACCCCTTTCTCCTCCTTTTTATGAGGAAGAGCTTGAGAGCCTCCTAAAAAGTTACTCTAAACGTTGACAAAAACATACTAATCTAACAAGTAAATAAAGTTAAGTTTATGTCATCACCTTAGCATATATAACCACTTTTACACACTGCTTTCTGAAAAGGGAAACAGAACCTAAATTACTGAATCTCATTTTAGAATTCGTTAGTCCCCACTTAATTAATCAACATCTGGAAACACATTACTTAAAGAGGCCACATCGACAATTTGGCATCAACCCTGGGCCATTTTTTTCAGTCACTTTACAGGATTCCGCTAGAAGTGAAGCTGAACCCTTTTTCAATTGACTGGGAATCCTAAAACCAAAACTAAAACAATAAAAAAATGATGTATTCCAATGATAAAAACCATAAGACACCAAACGTATCACAAAATAGTAAAACACACTTTTCGCGAACAGTTTGCAACCGGCGCCGGTCGCGGTAAAAAAATACAGCCTGTCTCATGCTCAGCAAAATACGACCCAAAGGGAAGAGAAACAAGGATACTGGGTCTAAATGTGAGAATGAAAATTGAAAGTTGCTTTTTGTTTTGAGCTGACAAAGAAAAACAAATT